TATTAATTCCTAAAGATCATAATTCTCCATCTCCCATATTTAGAAATCTTAAAAGCCTAATGCTCTATTTGGTATGATGAAGAATTGAAATGATGGAAAGTTAGAAGGATAAAAAATTAGAGTGACAGATAAAACATCATGTTTGGTAAAGAAAGAAAATATGAACGATGAAAAAGTGGATGTATGAGCTTTCCTTCCAACTCACCAAATTTAATCCCTCCAAAATCAGAAAGAAAGTGGATAAAAAGTTAATTATTTGTGTTGAAATGTATCTTATTTGTCTATATATCATTTGATACATACATATATTATGTATACATTAATTTTATGTATAAATACAATGATAAAATATGTATTTATATATTTTTTAAAAAAACTAAAAACAAAAATTTTAAAAATAAAAATAAAAATAAAAATTTAAAATAAAAAATATATTTTTTTCCATCTCAGCCAGTGGTGAAAATTTTAGATTCAACACGATGACACAACTTAAACTCGACACGAATTTTATGATACAAACTTGATTATAATTCGATACAAACTCAAAAATGATTTGACACACGAATACGAAATATAAACGGATCATATTCAGTTCAACTTGTCAAACTCAAAATGGACATCATCAACCCATTTATTTAAGAATAAATATTTTCTCTATTTTCTTGTTTGTATGGTAACACGAAATTAACATGTTTAAATAGTATTATATGCATAAAATATTAATTATTTATAACTATTTATTAAGCACTGACATAATTATTATATAAAAAATATATTTTTACTTATTATTATTATTATTATATTTATTTATGTTAATTTTTAGTTTGTAGAAAAAGTATGAATATGAATTCAATTAAGTGAAACAGAATATTAGCATTAAATTTTTTATTTAAAGTTTATATAGGTTGACATGAATACGAACATAAACACAAACACGATACGAAAATAAATATGTCAATTCGACACGACACAATTAATTAAATGAGTTGAGTTAGGTTTGATTAATGTTCGACATGAACACACAATGACTCGACACTGACCTGACATGATATGATTCGATTGTCACCCCTAATCTTAGCAAGCAAAAAAAAAAAAAAATCATTTTTATTTTTCATCCATCCTATCAAATACAAAAAAAGAAAAGTGTATTCCTACTTTCGTTCCTTAAACAATAGAAAGTGTACTCCTCGTACTTTTTGTCTCTCTTATTTTCTATCCTTCCTATCAAACGAAATTTAAGAGGTCCAACTGAGTTATTCAATAACTTATTAATTCCTAAAGATCATAAGTTTTGTTCAATTATGTAACACACACAATCAATTATAAATATAATAAACCCGAAATTTATGACAGAAATCTATTTTCTAGTATGAAACCAATTTTTTTTTTTACTATACTATAAACTTATGGGAAACTAGTCCAAATAAGGGACGAAGTAGAAGTTCACCATGAAGCCTTGTCGCCGTTATCGATGACATTACGGCGTGAGAAGTATTTTGAGCCCATTGGACATCTGACCTCATGGGCCTCCGTGTATTGTCTTAGTCTGACTAAATGCTATTCTGGCCTCAGTGAGTTAACACTTTTTTAACCAAGGCCTTAAAAAGCCCTAAAAATCATGAGCAAACCTCTGTGAACCTAATGAGGTGTCTGATAGGGTGAATGAAAAAATAAAAATATGAAAAGTTGAAGTAATACATTTTTTATCCTTTAAACGAGAAATTCTTCCTTCTTTCTTTTGTATTTAATAAAAAGGATGAAAAATAGAAAGTATTGATAATATTGTCTCTCCTTATTTTTTTTAAAAGTTATAATTTTACCTATAATAGTGATAATATTGTCTCTAAAAATGGTAACATTACCTTGAAATATTATAAGCTCACGTCAAGAAATTATAACCTCACCTCACCTCTAGATGTGATAATTTTACCTCTATTGTTTGTAACATAACCTTAAATGGTTATAACTTTACTTCCAAAGATAGTAATTTTACTATAAATGGTTATAATCTTACTTCAAAAAGTTATAACCTAAACTTTAAAGTTGATAATTTTATCTCTACATACTGTAACATAGCCTCAAATGATTATAACTTCACCTTGAAAGATGATACATTTAATTTAAACAGTTGTAACCTTACCTAAAAAGTTTGTATCTCACATCTAAACGTGATAACTTTACTTTTACAAATTATAATTTAATCTCAAATAATTGTACCATTACTTCCAAAGATAATAATTTTACCTTAAAAGATTATAACTTTCCCTTCAAAGTTATAACATTACTCTAAAAGTTATAATTTTACCTCTCTAGGCTGTAAGTTAATCACAAATGATTTTAACTTTAACTCTGAAAGTAGTAACTTTCTTAAAAGGTGGTAAATTTCTTTTAAGAGATTATAACTTTGTCTTTTCAAGTGGTAACTTTAGCTTAAAATGTGTAACGTTACCTCAATAATCATGATCGATCATGATTATTTATAATTGATCTCAATGCCTCTAATGGATCCAAAGATTTTATGAAACTATACATATATTTTTTTTGCGATTCTAGTCTATTAGGATTAATCATGACTATATGGAATTGATCTTAGTGCATTTGATGGTTCAAAAAGTTCTAGAGGTTCCAATTAGATAGAATCGATCATGACTACCTGATCTTTTTAATTTTTTTTGTGAATTGGTCTCAATCCTATATTCAGTTGCAGCAAATTAACTTGTAATTTTATGAAATTACCTCTCAATTTCATCCAACTAACATTCAATTCATAAAAAATAATATTAAATTGACCTTCAATTTTATTAAATTAACATTCGGCATTCAAATTTTTATTAATTTGGCACCAAAATTTGACCTTCAATTTTTTAAATAAATTTAATAAAATAAAATTTAAATTTAAAATTTGTTGGTAACATTTAATTTCATCAATTTTTACTTCAAAAATAACAAAAATATTGAATATTATTTTAATGCTAATTTGATGAATTTTAAATTTATAATTTCGAATGTTAATTTAATAAATAAATTTAATAAAATAAAATTTAAATTTAAAATTTTTTGGTAACATTTAATTTCATCAATTTTTACTTCAAAAATAACAAAATATTGAATATTATTTTAATGCTAATTTGATGAATTTTAAATTTATAATTTCGAATGTTAATTTAATAAAAGGGAAGGTCAATTTAATGTTATTTTTGTTAAATTGAATGTTAGTTGGATAAAATTGGAAAGTAATTTCGTAAAATTACAGGTCAATTTGATGTAACGAAATATATGATCGGGATTAGATAAAAAAAAATTCGACTAGTCATAATAGATCTTATCTAATTGGAACCTTTAGAAATTTTGTTTGAAAATATTTTTGGATCATCAAATGCATTAAAACAGAACTCACATAATTATGATTGATCCTAATTGAGTGGAAAGATAAAAATAAAAATAAAAAAAAGGTTTCATAGAATATTTAGATCCATCGGAGATATTGGGATCGATCCCAAATAATTATGATCAATCAAGACCATTGAGGTGAAATTGCACCATTTAAAGTAAAGTTATTACTTGTAAATATAAAGTTATAACCTCTTGACATAAGATTACCACTTTTTAAGGTAAAGTTATTACTTTCAAAGATAAGGTTACGACAATTTATAGTAAAGGTGCAGCTTATAAATATAAAATTATCACTTTTAAAAGTGAGGTTATAACTTCTAAAAAAAAAGTTACAAACTTTTAAGGTAAAACTACTACCTTTAGAGGTAAAGGTATAACAATTTAAGATCAAATTATAATTTGTAAAGGTAAAGTTATTACCTTTAGAGGTGATATACAAGCTCTTTAGGTAAGATTACAACTGTTTAAAGTAAATTTATCATTTTTTAAGATGATGTTATAATCATTTGAAGCTAAGTTACAATATGTAGAGGTAAAATTATTAATTTCAGATTTTAGGTTATAACCTTTTAAAATAAGGTTATAACTATTTATAATAAAGTTATTATATTTGAATGTGAGGTTATAACTATTTAAAATTAAGTTACAAACAATAGAGGTAATGTTAACACCTCTCAGTTTACAATCTCTTGAGACGACTTTATAAGCTCACAAAACTATCACTAGGTAAAATTACAACCTTTGGAGGCAAATGTGCAACTTTCAAAGGCAAAGACATCACCTGCAGTGCATAATACTTAATGCCAAAAAATTGACAACCACACTTTTATTATGGTACGAAAATGTGGGTACCAAAGCCTTGCCCAAAAACTATGAAAAATACCATGTTTATCAAACTTTTTATTTTAAATGATGTGACTTAATCTTTATCGTTGAACATTAATAAGACTCGTTCATCTGACGGTGACAAATTACGTTAAATCATTTGAGATAAAAATTTAATAAAAAAATTGGTAAACATACCATTATCCAAAAATTATTGTCTAGGTTGAGTTGTCTCTTTCTTTTCTTTCAGCATTCACTTTGATTATGTGTTAAACGCTCATTTAAGTAGTATTAGCGCATATATCATTATTTAGACTCATTATAATAGATCTGACAAAATTTTACATCGACTATGGACTAGTTAACGTAACCCTCCTCTTTTATCTTCACTTAGGATAGACAATATTAAATACAACACAGGCAGAGTTAAAAGAGAAAAAAGGACTGACAGTGTTGATAAAAATATTTATACAAAAGTAATGTTATATGAACTTAAAAAGTAGGTTTAAAAATTAAACTTGATAATCTCAATCATTGATTTTATTGTGGGTCTCAGTATTTATTGGGACCCACTACTTATTCAATGATTAATATTATCAAATCTAATTTTTAACTCAATCTAGCATTACTCAAACAAATTTCTCAAACACCCCCAAACAAATTTGTTGGCTATGGAGACCATGTGGGCGAGGCCAGTTGTACTCAAACAAATTTCTTCACACACAGCAGTACTTTCCAACATTATATAGGAACTGCTCAGGTCGTAGCTAGTAATTGAATTAATGGCCACTCAAGCGTTAGGCAAGCTTGAGCCATGGTGCAACTTGGATGGCAAGGTTGTGATGGTGACCGGTGCATCGTCGGGGCTAGGCCGAGAATTTTGCATCGACCTAGCCAAGGGCGGTTGCAAGGTCGTGGCAGCTGCTTGTCGAATTGACCGACTCAAGTCTCTTTGCGACCAAATCAATCAGTTCAACTCTCCAAGTCCCCGCCCTACAATGGTTGATTCAAGAGTTGGCAACAGTCCTCGAGCTGTGGCCGTTGAGCTTGATGTGACTGCCGATGGTAGCACCATTGAGGCGTCCGTGCAGAAAGCTTGGGATTCATTTGGTCACATTGATGCTTTGGTAAACAATGCTGGTGTTAGAGGTAAAGATTTAGCTTGATATGAAAAGTCGGTTCTCAACGACTTTAGTTAGATTTTAATTAGGTTTTTTTTTGGTTGAACGATCCGAGATGTTTGGCGCACATCTCGATTAATCTCTTACTTAGTTAAATTAAAGACAGACCATCTATGTTGGGATTAAGATACCTAACCCCAAAAAATTATAAAATATCGAACTCAGTACGTCTGAGTTGACAATTCGTCTATATTATTATTTGAATTATCCTTAGAGTTTTCAATTAGTCGTCTAACATTAGTACTATCACGACCTTCTTAAGTAGTAAGGCCAGTAAGGCCACCCCAAATGAGCCTTCTCCTATTCCGACTTTCCTAGAGTTTTGAGTAATATAGTCGAGACAATGACGGGCTCTCTGGTTAACAGTTCAGCTCTCTTTGATCTTTAGAAAGTGTTTTATTTACAGAGTGGTAACTATTAGTTTAAGTACTTATTTTTCTTCAGAGAGATTAGTTATACAGTCTCTTAACTAAGGATTTAAATATATTACACTCTACTTTTTTTTAACTTCTTTTTGTGTATCTTAGGGAATGTAAAATCTTCGTTGGAGCTATCGGAGAATGAGTGGGAGAATGTGATAAGAACGAACTTAAAAGGAGCTTGATTGGTATCAAAGTACGTTTGCGTACGTGTGCGTAACGCGTGGAGGGAAGGATCAATCATTAATATTTCTTCTGTCTCAGGTCTGAACCGAATACAAGTACGTGGAGGTGTTGCCTATAGTTCTTCAAAGGCAGCCATGGACAGCATGACAAAGGTACTTATGAGCTTGTCTTGGTTTCTCTCTGAGCTCTTCTTCGACTGTGATTCCAAACTGTTTAGTTGCTCGATGTATTATTTTATTTTAATGTATGAACTCTATTAACAAATTCTCAGATGTACAAAGAAATTCAGTTTTCAAATTAAACATCACTCAAATGTTTAATTGGGTCATTGAGTTTGTTTGGAGCAAGTTTAAATAGGTAATTTTTAAGGACTTTGAAGTAAAATTGGTCAGAACTTTGATGCAGCTTTTTGGACCCAAAAAAAGTTATTTAAGTTTATTCAAGAAGTTGATTTTATGCGATTTTTTCCCAATTTTTTGGAGTTTTATTGCGGGTCCTATGTAACTTTTTCGTTTATTCTATTTATAAAATATTATTAGTGACATAAAAAAATTTTAAAAAAGTTAGAAAGTTACCACAAATGGACTTTTATAACTTTTTAAAGAATAATCTAAACGATTTTGAAAAAATTTTTTACGAAACTTTTCAAACCATAATTTTTCACTTAAAATTTTCAGCTCCAAAAAGACACATTTTTTATCATTGCTATGCTTGTTATTTTTACACAACACCGTGCTTCATTTTATCAAAACATATTTTTTTATTTATTCTGATGCTCCGTTTGGTACAATGAAAAAAATGAAATGATGGAAAGTTATAAAGATAAATAAAATATTATGTTTTATAAGGAAGGAAATAGGAAAGATGAAAAAATTGATAAATAAACTTTTCTTTCAACTCACTAAAATCAATTCTTTCAAAATTAAAAAGAAAGTGGATAAAAAATTAATTATTTGTATTGAAATGTATCTTATTTGTCTATATATTCTTTGATATATACATATATTATGTATACATTAATTTTATATATAAATATAATTATAAAATATGTATTTATACTTTTTAAAAAAAAATTAAAATTAAAATTAAAAAAAATATTTTTTTCCATCTTACCAAACACAAAAAAAATTAATCATTTTTATTTTTCATCCATCCTGCCAAATACAAAAGAACGAAAGTGTATCGTTTATATTTTTCTTCTTTGGAAGATAAAAAATGTATTCTTATGCTTTCCGTCATTTCTTTTAAACGGAGCATTACATTTACCAAAATCTAGTCCATTTCTAGTATTTGATAATCTCAACATTCCACATTTGAATCTCATTTCGACAGACAATGGCATTGGAATTGGGGCAACATAGAATTAGAGTGAACTCAATAGCTTTCGGGCTTTTTCGATCAGAGATCACTGAGGATCTTATGAAAAAACATTGGCTTAGTAATGTGGCTTTGAGAAGTGTTCCTTTGAAAACGTTTGGCACGTCCGATCCGGCATTGACATCACTCATTCGTTACTTGATACATGACTCATCTGGATATGTCTCAGGAAACCTTTTCATTGTAGATGCTGGATACACACTTCCTGGTATCCCTATTTTCTCTTCCCTTTGAGTTAGAAATGATAATAAATTGTGTCGTATTGGTTCCTACCATTTATGGGTAGGTTCTTGTTGATGCATTTATTTTCTTCATGTAGTAAACCAACTCTTTTATGACGCGAGCAGTTATGTACCATATAAATTTGTATCATATTTGGATTATCAATCGTGTTTCGAGTGCATTCAAATAATAAAATTGTAGTCCTCTAAAAGTTACATTTCTCTAATGTCAATTAGTTTTATCATTCACTGTTAAATTATTGGTCTTCCCGACTATAACCCATTGACAATATGTGAAATTTATTGATTCATTGAACAAATTTAAATTGATCAAAATTGAGGATCTTGGATGTTTGGACACAGTAGTATTTATTTGTTGGTCTCTTATTGATGCTTTAAGATGTTTGTTTAAATTTTAAGAGGTACCTCAAGTGGTAATAGAAACGAGTTATAAATACAGACATCTTAAGTTCGAATATTGACAACTCATTAATGTCAGGTCATGAGAAATTTATCCCTCATGAATGTCATAGTCTCCGCGTGGATAATCTGTTTTTGATCAAATCAGAGAAAGAATTAATTGAGGTATGCGCAAGTTGACCCATAAATCTTTGATCGTTGAAAAAAAATATATATATTTGTTTAGATTTTAACCACCCTACTTAGTCTGTGTTCTACGATTGATGTTGGGTAAGTAGTGAAAAATTGGTGTGCTTGATTTTGTGTATGCCTTTCGGCCACAAAAACACAAAATCTCACATCATTGGGGTTGGATTTGTGAGATTGATTGATAAGTTCTTACTCACTCTTTTAAAGTTTATTTTCTTTTCAATGTGGTGTGAGCATGGGCGGAGCCAAGAATTAAAATGACAGTGGACACTTAAACTAATTGTTATATCTTTTTCCTTCCAATCGACTAGAGTAGATGATACAAAGTTAATTTTGAAAGTCATATTTAATTCCTAAAACTTTTTTAAACACAAATGGCCAAAAGCCGATATGTGGGTGTAATTAAAAACAAAAAAAAAATTATAACTACGTCATTTTACATAAAAAAAAATAATACTAATTATAGTCTTTAACAAGTAATCTCTTTTTAAAAAGTCACCATAGGGTCGAAATTGCAGAAGAGTCGCACTTACCATCTTGGCATTGTTGTTGTTTCAATTGTTTTTCCTCCATGTTTCTATATTCACAAGATAAGAAGTATCATTGGACCAAATACCCATTAATATCATATTTCCATATTTTATCTCAAAGTGTTGTTGGTTTGTGTGGTGATCTAAAATGTCTATGTGAATAAGATGGATAAATAAAAGGAGTTTTCATGGATCATTGTGGGCACCACCAAGTATTATTGAGTCCTGGATTATTGGGCGGACATCACCGATGAGTTAACTCATAAAACATTTTTCACACATGTAGGTAATAAATAATTTTTTTTTTTCAGGATAGGCCAGCGTTCCCTCTGGCCTATGACTAGCTCTGTGCATGAGTGTGTAAAATTTGACTTTTTGGTCTTCTCGGGTTCTATGTTTTGTGATGATGTTCGGTAAATAGTAAAACAAATAAAAATTATGCTTGATTTTATATATGTTTTTCACTAAAAAATAACTTTCATAGTATGTAGGGTAGTTTTAAGCTTTTGTCCATGAGATAAGAGAAAATAATTGAATTAGACCTCTAAATGTATGAGAGTCATATGAAATTTTGCCTGATCAAGATTCAAAGTCAAATATGATTTGTATGCTCGGGCTTTTAATTTGACTTGAACACCGAAAAGAGCAAAAACACTATTTTACTTTAATTGTGCATTTTAAGAAGGGGCTAAAATGATGCATCAATCGTTTTGTAGTATAATAGTAATTAGGGCTTTACTACTGACTTGACTTTCCTAGTTATTAATCCCTCTTAAAACTCTTGTCAGAAAGAACAAAAAGAAAGATTCTTTGTAATATCGCTTGAATAACGATAATTAAAGTAAAAATTTGTAAAGAAAAAGTTTTACCAATGGTAAGAGTTATTACTTACACCAACACTTGATGAGTTTACAAAACATTCTCCCACCGACAAGAAGAATTTGATTTTGACAAATTTATGATATAAAAAACTTTTAGATGAAGAACGTCCTAATAATATAAGTCAACGACTTGAGCTGAATACCACCCAACGCATAAGGCCTTTTTCATATGCATTTGTTGAATCTATTACCAATATATAGCTGTTTTAGAACATATATACCAAAGTACAACACTTTTAAACTTATTTATCAAACTATTGAAATTTTTAAAAGCAGATGTACCGATCCCGCTTTTATTAAAAAACGGATTTATTAATTCCACTTTTTTATTAAAAAAAAAAAAGTGGGTAGTGGAAAAAACGTGGTTACTAACCACGCTTTTTACACTTTTTCACACAAAAGAGTATTTCATTTTAACACAAACTTTGAGTAACTCGATTCATTTTAGTGGTCATGAGCTCGTCGTTCTCCACCCAACCGAAAAAGGACAAATAAAAGACATTGGGATGTAATGTGCTTTCTCGAAGGGTTCTAGGTGTGGAGATTTTGAAGGGTTTTCTTACAGGGGTCTGTATTATTGGCTGGTTTTTGACAGAGGTAGTTGCCAAAATGCCAATGTTTTAGCCTCAAAGAGGGCTGGGTTGTAGGGTTTGAAGGTGGTGGTGATGGGCAGGTTCTAGATCTGGAGACTACCGTTAAAGATGGGGTTACGAGTGCTGTCGGAGGAGGCTGTTTCAGTGTTAGGGTTGGAGAGAAATTGGATCTGAAGAAGATGATTGAAGAGCTCAATTTTCTAGAAGTTCCATCTGTGTTTATTTGCCCAATTTTTCCTTGAACCTATGCAAGACCTAGTGACCTTTTGCACTTGACAGACCTATGAGAGGTCCAACATTCTCAACTGGTTCAGCTTGGGGCACTACACTTGCCCCACTACTATGCAAGAGCTGTGGGATGAGTCGGTTACTCCAAATAAGACCCTGCACCATTAAATTCATACTTGGTTTCCACACAAGTATTCGCAGATGAAGAAGAGATCAGAAGATGTGTAGGGGATAACTTCCTGAATGAAATGATCTTTCGTGCAAAAAAGTGTAAAAAGTGTGGTTAGTAACCACGCTTTTTCCACTACCCACTTTTTTTTTTTAATAAAAAAATGGGATTGGTAAATCCGTTTTTTAATAAAAGCAGGATTGGTACATTCGCTTTTAAAAACTGTAGTAATTTGGTAAATAAATTTAAAAGTGCTGTATTTTGGTATATATATTCTAAAACAGCTGTACATCGGTAATAGATTCTGCATTTGTTACAACTACAACCTTTGGACTAATACAAAATTCAAACTATTTGACTAGCCAAAAAACCCCAAATTAACAAAGTATAAGATGTTATTCAAACTATTTATCTTATCATATTTTCTTGTATTTTTTCGTATCCTACTTTTTTTTTCGATGGTTTTCGTATCCTACTTGTTTATATAATTTTTATATCTAAATACACCTTTTACCAGGTCCCACGGATTTGATGTTTGGTATTAATTTTTAGGATAAATTATATTTGGGTCGCTTAATGTTTATGGCTAATGCACACGGACCCCCTCAGACATGATTCTTTATATAAACACCCCTGCCAATAATAGCTTGCACTTTGCAGACAATACTGAAAAAAATGACCAATTTACTATTATTAATAGTCTAACCAAAACTATCCCTCGGACAACTCAATCTAACGACAGAATATCTCAAACCCATTTCCAAATAGGCTTACACCTATAAAATAATACCCACTAACTTCTCTGTACTTCAACTTTCCCAAAGTCCCCACCACACCATCTGTCGAACACCCTCTCTCTCTCTCTCACACACACACACAGCGTGAAAGCTCCATCCTCGCCTTTCTCCTCGCTCTATCGATTCGCTATTCCCTCTCCCCACCATTCCACGATCCTCTTGTCTCTCCTACACTGCAACCTGTATCTCTGACAGATTTCAATGTCACTTCACCTATCCTTTCCCACATAAGTGGGTTGAGGTCCTAATTTGGTGGTTGGTTGAGAACATGTGCTTGATTTTTCTTGAAAATGCAAAAAAAATGGGATTTTAGGAGATTTGGATGGGTTGTTGTTTCAGGGGCAATTTAGGAATTGTGTGATTAAGGTCGTTAGCTGTTAAGTGGAAACATGCCACCCTTGTCTTTGCCTTTAAAAAAACAGAAGATAAAGACTCCTACCAACTCCCACTTGTCACCCACCTTGGGTCGATCCGTGAAGTAGGGTGTTCACCGTATTCTACAAGTAAAAAATATAATTTTTTGTCTTTCTATCCGATATTTTATGAAATTTTCTTTTTTGTCTACCCTACCCGATTAGGTGTGGTATTCTTGCCTAACTTCCTATCTGATTAATCGGGTAGAAAATTGAGTAAAAAGTCGGATAAACACTTTTGTAATTATTAATTTTTCAATAATGCTATTGAGACATAATTAAATGACATAATTTAGGAATATAATGAGTTATCACTAATGAAATGATAGTGAAATGTATTTAATGATGAGTCCTATTATAGCATTAATGAATTCATTATCATATCATTGGTGACAACTCATTATGTCATCAAATTATGTCCCAATAACATTGCTCTTAATTTTTGAATCATTTTAAAAATTCAATTAAATAACATGCATCAATTTAACAATACAATAAATTAATAACACTAAAATCTAAAACAATTACAATAAAACATAAACATCAATCCCTCATAATTGTTACACAAATATAATAACAATTATTTTAAGTTTAAACCATACGAAACACATTAAAATTATAACTGTTCTAATATAGATTATCAATTTATTACAAATCATGTAACGTACACAAAAAATAAGTAAATATTTTCGTAACTCAAACATTCATAATAATAATAATGTTATAATATAAATTATGTCATACAAATATTCTTATAATTACTAAAAAAATATAAAAAAATTAAATATATTTTTTTGCGGGTAAGATAAGATATAAATGTAAAAAATAATAAATATTCTGTATTCCTATCCAATTTAATCAAAAGTTCAAAACTTCTTCTGAATTTTTACCCGATCTTTTCCACTAACCAATCAGTAGGACGACTAGGGTAGGATGGGGTCGAAATTGCGGTGAATCACAAATTTGAACGCCCCAACCCTAAACCCACAGAAACTCATAACTTCGCTTCTTGTGGCCGGAATTTCATACCAAAATGGCGACCCAAGAGTCGAATCACCTGGAGCCATGGCGGGACCTAGAGGGCAAAGTGGTGATGGTCACCGGCGCGTCCTCGGGGATCGGCCGAGACTTCTGTCTAGACCTGGCCAAAGCTGGTTGCAAGATCATCGCCGCCGCTCGTCGGATCGAACGGCTCCAATCTCTCTGCCATGAAATTAACGAACTCGTCAACTCCAACGATCCCAGATCAAGTCAACTCAATTCTACTACTCCCACCAGCCCCAGAGCAGTAGCCGTGGAGCTTGATATCTGTGCCGATGGGCCCACAATTGAAGCTTCCGTACAAAAAGCTTGGGACGCGTTTGGTAGGATAGACGCGCTGATAAACAATGCCGGTGTTAGAGGTAATCCCAATTTCCTCTGGATAAAATTTAATTTTGATTTTTTTTTCTCTGGTGACTGGAAATCCGATTTGTAATTTGGATGCACGTGACCTAGTCCACGTGGACATGCACCTGCCGTAAATCACGTGCACCAAAGTGCGGGAGAAGCCTCTGAATTGATCCCACAATGAGGTTTAAACCAGTAGGGATGTTGAGTTCTTCCGGCGGGCTTTGTCACTCGTAGTCATATGTGAGGTTGGTTTTTGTTTTTGTTTTTGTTTTTGTAGTTGGGTTGGGTTGAACAGTTGCTTGACTTGGATTAAATTTGTTGACTAAGATATTGTTTGATAAAATTGAAATTTAATTACTGAATTTTATGAGCTAAATGTTGAATCTTTAATCCAGGAAGAGTTTGATATGTATTGAAATTTAAGTACTAAATTAGATCAAAATATTTGGTCAATACAAAGAGCTGAAAGAGCTGAATTATTACTATTTTGGCTTGGTTCTTCCTCCCTACCACCCCACCCGCCACCATCACATGTTGCCACCAACTCCGCTACCACTACCACCACCATCTCTCGACCACCACCAGCAACATTCCGCCACCATTACCTTCGCCCTATCATTGCCAACGCCGCTACTATCCCATCTGTTGCCACTGTCAACACTCACACCGCCACTAGTCCACTACTATCACCTTTTACTGTCGCTGCCAAGTCCAACCACCACTGCTGCAATCATTACCCCCACCATTGACAGAACTACATTGTGGCTAACAGGCGTGCCTCCCTGCAGCTTTTTAAAATATGTCATATCCCCATTTTGTTGTTAAATGTCAATCCATTAGATTTTTTGAATACACTAACTAAAGTAGCATACATATATAGAGATTATGAAAATTTATGTTCCAAGCTGGATATGTTTTATCTTTATGCTCTAGCTTGAAAGGGGAGTGTTAAGTTTTTGTGTTCTTTATTAGACTTAAGTTAATTAGTATAGGGTAATATTTTAATTGCTCTAATATTACTCAGTTATGAATAAGAAAATGTAGGGCAACCAAGTCCACACACAGATTATTCCATTTCTCTCTCTTTTCTCTTCTTCTTTCTCCTTTACACACAGATTATATATATATATATAAGTGAAATAAACAATGACAGCTCTATGTAATATGTTACTTGTTGAATAGAGGCCTTTTATAAGAAGTCATTATTGTCAAATCTAATGTTTGACCCATCCAGAAAGTGAAAGCAAAAAATCCCGACTTTGAATATCGTATAATAATTTGTCATACACATATATCTCCGATAAGTTGTCCATTGGAATACCTACATAACGAACTTTGTATTAGCCTTTGGTCAATTGTGGTTGTGAACTTTTTAATATCCCTTATACTCGGGGGCGGAGGTAGGGATTTTGTCCTGGGTGGGAACTCTAGCTGTAGGCTAATTGTGATCAATTTTATGTTTCAATTTAAAAATACAAACTCAAAAAACTGTAAATGTACACATCAATATCAATCGCAAAAACACTTAAAACAGTCATCGGCCAATTTTTAAGGTTCACAAAAACTTCTTTTGAAGAATCTCGAAAACTTAGTGCAAGTAATTCAATTGCTCTTTCTTACAATGACTATAAATAATTATGTCATCAAGAAATACAAGCACTATATTCGTCTGCTTACAATGACTATAATTCATTCTTTGTCTCCTCCTAATTCTCCTCCTCCTCCTTCTTCTCGTCCTCTTCATCCTTCTTCTGCTTCTCCTTCTTTCTCCTCCTGCTTCTCTTCTTCCTCCTCCTCCTTCTCCTTCTACTCCTCCTCCGCCATCTTCTCCTTCTTCTTCTTCTCCTTCTACTCTTCTTCCTCCTCCTCCTTTCCCTCTAACCTTTTGGCCTTCAAATCAACACCAAACATTAGAATTTGCTGCTGTCAAGAATTTTCTGCACCTAATCCTCTACAATTCTTACGTTTACACACTTATAAAATCAACTCAATCACAACCCCTTCCCTTCCATCAACTCTAGAACCACACTTCCACCTTTTAGCATCATACCTGCAAGCTTTTCTCAGTCTAAGCCCACCAAAGCCCCTTCCCACTAGGTCAAGATGGGGTAGATGGTGCAAGAAGATGTAAATTTGGTGAAAGGATTGATGCCAGACGGACACATTTAAACTGCAGCAAAATATGATTTGCAGGAAGCATATGCATCCTTTTATTTTTAAGGTAAAACTGCCCTGACAGATGGAGAGGATGTCTACTAGTGACTAAGAGTCCACTAACAAAGATCTAGATCGATCATCTTGAACTAAGAGAGACGCAGTGGAATTGACGATTGCAAGGTTACACTGACGTGAGCCTTGGCATTTAACCATTAATCAAGATGTTTAAGTCATCTGTTATGATGGCTATGTACATAAGAACTCGTTTGCCTCAAATTGGAGAAACTGCACAGATGCAGGGAATACCACATGCTAGAAGAAAGTTGATCTAGGAATTGATGGAAAATATAGTGTAGAGATCACAGTATGGGAAGATGGAACTCATAAGGCCAGCAAGAAATGGTTGGCATAAATCATTGTTGACTTGACCTAAGTTGGAATGTTGTTATTTAGATTCTCTCAAGTTATGGTTGGACTTTTGGACCACCTCTATCTATTGTTGTCGTAAAGCATGATTTGAAAGCTTAGCTTTGGTAGTCTAGACTCTGGAGCATGATCTTGTAAAATGGTTCCCCTTAGGCCATTGACCAATATAATGTAGGTAGTTGGTACTCGAAGAATTAGGCCTACAATTTACTTGATGAATGACTGCTATGTGATCTGTATCTTTCTTTGGTTGCCAGCTCTGATCATAATGTTTTTGTTTTCATTCGAAATCGTATGGTAGATAAAAGGCCGTTTTACAATTTAACAACCCCCACCCCCACAGGAAAAAAAACAAAACAAACAAAGGGCCTTTAGAACTGTCCCTTTATCTATTCTTATTGTTGGCACTCTGAGATTAAGAATCTGCCATTAGAAGTTTTAACAGCTTCTATTTTGCACGCCTTTACTTTCATATTGTAGTTTCTATTGTCCTTTCCTTTTCTTAACTTCTTCTAATTCACATATTTCCATTGAGTTTGCACACGAATAATTTAATGTCTATACTGTACAATCTGCGGTATAACTTTTTATGCAGATCAGCTATTGAGTATGACCTTCGTCTAGTTATTGGCTTTCCTAAGTTGATATTCCCTCGTATGGCTAACCTTTTGTTGTGTATCATAGGTCGTCTGCACACTCCCCTGGATTTGTCAGAGGAGGAATGGAATTATATTTTCAAAACAAACATTACAGGATCATGGTTGGTGTCTAAGTATGTCTGTATACGCATGTGTGATGCAAGTCAGGGAGGATCAATTATCAATATTGCTTCGATTGCTGGTCTAAGTCGTGGGCAATTGCCTGGAGGTCTTGCCTATTCATCTTCAAAAGCTGCTGTAAACACCATGACAAAGGTAAGATATTTTCCTCCCCTCCCTCTTCTTTGGGGTTGAAGGATAAGGGCAATGTACCTTGATATGTTATACACTTAATTTTAACCCAAGGCTACACAAAATATTTAGTTGTTGCTATTTCTTGACAGGAAATACCATGTTTTTTTATTGCATGTATCTGGCAAGGTTCTGAGCTTTTTGCCAGTTGGCTTTTAAAACATCCAGAGATGGTAATGAATTGATGAAAGAATTGAAAATTTTGGGATTTTAGTACATCCCTTTTAGGTTTTCATCAATGTAAATGCTTCCCATAACCTCCACATGGTGGCTAGTTCGGACAAAGACAAGGAACTAAATGAATTCTGGATGAAGCCCACTTTACTTTATGTTTGTTTTAGTCTTACTATACTATTATTCGACCAAGTCAAAGCTAGCAACATGTCAATTACACACCAAAGGTGTGACAGTATCTCTCTAACCTAAGTGAGCCTGCCAGCGAAGCAATCAGTACTTTTGTAACCTTGTATTCTCTTAGTCGTACAACTTAACATGTATTTTTGTAATCGAAGTAATTGCCAAAAATGGATTGCAGTTTTGGTAAAAGTTATGATATTGGCTCAACGTTGATGAACTCTAGTTGGTTTATGTGAAGTATTGTTGTGAAAATCTGTCTTATGTTGCCACCAAATAAAAGTTGGAGCCAAGTTCTCTTGGTTCCCTGCCTTGATGTCTTTTAAATATCCTTATGTTGCCTTTCTTATGAATAGAGCGGGTGAAAATATCATCTCTTCTGATTGTGTATCCTGGAAGTGATGGAATCAAAATTTTAATACTTTGAGGTGTTTTGTAAATTTTTTGAGGGTTTTGTAATGTTTTGACGCATTAACACAATTGTTTTAGAATGTTTTAAAGGTATTTCAAGATGTTTTGATATATTTCGACCAACATTTTGGAAAAATAATTCTTTAATTTTTTATTGGTTTTCATTCTGTTTTCGAAAACGGTGAAAACATTTCCGTTTTCTAGGTGATTGAAATAATGCACCGAAATGAAATTTTGATCCATGGTATTCTATTAGTTGGGAGTGCTTAGTGTATGATGCACAGATTGTATTTTATTATTTCTTGTGTATTTCATTGGGGATAGACTAGTCTTTTTTCTTGTTATAAGGTTTTATTCATACTATCTCCTGTATCCATTTTTCTATCATGGATATTAATAGCTGCTTAGTGTTTTCTTTTCTTTCTTCCTTGTTGGATAGTTTGGTCTAAGTTTTCAGATAGAGCCATATAAATCTAGTGTCTAGGCGATAAACCCTATACCCAACATAGAAACAACCTCTACCCTCCCTAGACCTAGCAGTGGCGAGATTCTTGTGCACTAAACTGTCTGTATTGACACTGTTAGTTTGCCATCTTAAGAATGGGGTGGGATCAAAGGATCAATTGTTACCGCTACAACTACGCAGAGTTTTGTTTAATAAGGGGACATGAAATGCTTCAAGACTTTTGGAACTCTGCTTCTTAACAATATTGGGGAGACTTCTTCAGGATATATTTAACAAGTAAATTTGCTGGAGGAGCTGAAATCAAAAGAAGGAAAATCAAGGGATTTATTTGAAAGCAGCAAATAGGAAGAAGTAAGTAGGAATTGGCACCTTGAGGTATACAAGGAATGATCATTTTCAAGAAGACCAAAGTCCAAATACACTGAGAAAGCATTTTTTTTCTCATTTTTTCTCTGTAACAATACAAAGAGAACCTGATTCATACTCAGTATGCCTCTAATCGCCTTTTCACATCCTTCTGTGTTGGAAAATTCAGTGAGAACTTGTTCAGGAGTAGCAAGGGATTTTTTGTTACTTAAGTTACTGCTCTAGTTCTTGCCCGAGGAACACTTAAGCTGCAATCATCTTGAGAACGCAGTTACAGGAAAGTATGTTCTTGAAGTGAGCTGGTTACTTCTCTAGGGTACCATCCCTTCGCACAGTAAAAATAAAAACTTTGTGGACTCTACTCTATGGCATCAAACTTCTCATTTTTCAGCCTCTCCGGTTCGTTAATCAACTAACTCCTCATCCTTGGAAATTAGGAAACATTTTGGGACTTTGTTGATTATTCTAGTTGAGCAACATTTAGGACTCACGGATTGAATAAGAACTAATTTAGGCCTCAGGTTCCCCAGAAATTTCACTGTCCTTCTGAATCTTTGGCTAACAGCCTAGACTGATATTAACTTAGCAACAGGTCTCGTGTTATCCTGTGTTCAATATGTATTTTTTTATCCGTCCTGACTCATTTATTGGTTCCCTACGTTCTTCCTCTTTTTTCCATTTGTCTAGTCTGCAGCAATGCTTCTTATTGTGTTCTCTGAATCTCTAACTGGTTTTGCGCATACTTCAATTGCTTTCATTTGTTTATGCTTCGGTACATCTAACATTAAAGGAATAATAAGTTAGTTCTTAATCAAATGATAATAACAGGTCCTGGCCCTTGAATTGGGAGCACACAAAATAAGAGTGAACTCAATATCACCTGGACTTTTCAGATCTGAGATCACCGAGGGTCTCATGCAAAGACAGTGGCTGAATAATGTTGCTTTCAAAACTGTGCCATTGAGAACATATGGAACATCTGACCCAGCATTGACATCACTTATACGATACTTACTCCATGACTCTTCAGAGTATGTGTCTGGCAACAATTTCATTGTGGATGCAGGCGTCACCTTACCAGGTTTTCCGATTTTCTCTTCTCTTTGAATCATTATGTTGTTGAACTTTAATCAGTAGTAGTATACAAAATAGGAATCAGAAATGTTGCTGGATGCTGTTTTGCAAACTGTAAACAGAGACTTTCCTGTTTGTTGGAGATCTAAGTGTCTCTATGCTATACTTTTGTATTCAGTATTTACAAAACCGTCATTCTCATATTCTCTTTGCACTGCCGTGTTTCCTCCATGTTGGTGGAATATATTGTTCCTGCATATGGTTCGTTGCTAGAAAACTAGTCTGGTTTTGAACAGATGATTGTGTTTGGTTCCAAGTAAACATAATTGGGGTGGTTTGACTCTGTTACTCAGCATATTGTGTTGGCACACCTATGATATTAGGGTAGATATCAATAATACCCTCGTAGATTGATATAATTATCTGATAAAAAAAAAAGATTGATATAATTATAAAGTCACTCAATTTATCTGAAAATATGCTCGACACATCCTGTCGGATTTTGTTTCCTTCATACCTTTGAGCATTTTAGCTACTCATATGCTCTCTCTCATACTCCTATGAAACCGTCACTACCATTACCACCACCACCATGAATAAGAACGGGAGAGGGGGCCTCTCTCTCTTTCCCACGCCTTATTTGTTTCCTTAGCCGTTGAGAGATACATGACTCTTTTTTTTTTTTTTTTTTAAAATATAAATAGATAGAGTCATTATACATTCCAAAATATTAAAAAAATAAAATTATTTTGTATGCCTAATAATCAAGGATATAAAGGGTACTAAAAAATACAAAAAAATAAATTCAGTAAAAAACAGTGACATAAATAGAGGCACCTCCATCTCAAGTCTCTTTGAAGATTTGTGTTCAATGATCTTTTGTGAAGAATAGTAGAGTCCCTTCAATTTCTTTTTAGTGTAGATGCCCCTAAGGATGCCAAAAAAAGAAATTTTTTTCTCACATTTCATCCAAAAGGAATTCACTCTTTTTGAAAGTTCCAATTCGCGGTATCAGTTCTTGTTTGAGAGGTCACTAAGATATATTAGTTGCGGTGTCGTGATATAATATCGTTCAATATGCTAAAAACGTTATATAGATGGTGCAAAAAATTTGAAAAAATTTATAATAAATATAAACAATATCATTTAGGGAGAATTACACCCAAATCTCCCTGATCATATGCTCATTATCACACATTAATCATTGTAAAGAGAAATAAATGGATGATACACCCAGATCCCCTTATCATATCCTCATAATATAATGTATAATACATTAATCATCGTAAAGAGAAATAATAAGGGTGTTACCGAAATTATATAATTTAATTTATAATGTTTAAAAATTATAAAAAATAGACAAGTGCATATACGTAATTCAATTTAATTTATAGCTCCAAAATGTATATTTAATTATAAAAATATGTTGTCCATTTAATCATTTAATCAGTCGAGAGTTTCAACACTCGACAACCAGACGCGAACGACTTACTGGAAAAAACGACAGACGCGAACGAGAGAGTGAGAGACTCTGCCCTGGACTGGTCGCTGACTCTGAGAGTGCGAGACGGAGATGGAGAGTTGGGCATTCGCTACTGCAAGGGACCTAGGGGTCCGACGATGCTAGGGTTTCTGCTACAAAGAAGAAGAAGAATAAGAGGAATATCAGAAGATGGGGCTTTTAGTTTCGACACACTCAAATGCTTTACAGGCATGCTTTATGGTGTTGCTATAATTTTGCAAATACCTGATCTGTTTATATAATGGGAAAAAGAGTTTGATTTAGGATTCAGATCTGCACAAAATTTTACAAATTTCATGTGGATTCTGATTTCTGAAAGGCTAATCTGTTTTATTTTTTGTTAATCCTTCGTTTTTTTTTTATTCTTTGAATCTTTGTGGGTCATCAGATTTTATGTTTTTTGGCTTGTTCTTTTTTTTAACATGTTCTCTGGTCTGGTGGTGTTGGGTGCTAATCGGCGATTCGACCGAGCTTTTACCGATTTGACCCGGGAGTTGAAACCGTTTCGAAAGAGACTCGGGTTTTTTCGTATCGTGTCTTGGTATGTATCGTTTATGGCCGAGGCAGATACAACTCCGCCGATCGAACCGTACGTCTTTCATCAAAGATTCTTCGTTTTCTCTCCAACCATATCATCCAAAACAATGTCAATACCGCACTTTTCCATAAAATTTTAGCTCTAATGGTGTCACCAAAACCATCAAATCATTCTCGTTAATGCACTGTATGGTACTATGGAAAAATAGTAGGATGAAAAATTAGAGGGATAATAACTTGTTTGTTTGGCAAGGAAGGAAAATAGGGTGGATGGATTAATTTTTTTTCCAACTTACTAAAATCAAAATCAATTTCTCTAAAATGAGAAGGAAAGTTGATGAAAAGTTAATTATTTGTGTTGAGATGTATTTTATTTGTCTATATATATATATTTTAATTTTTTTTTGGAGAGATTTGAACTCTTGAGGTTAAGAAGTCAAAACCTTCATAAGATAAGGAGTTCTGTTGAATCAAAGATCCGTTGGTTTATTTGTTTATACATTATGTATATATTAATTTTATATAAAAATATAATGATAAAATATGTATTTATATTTAAAAAAATTTTAAAAAATAATAAAAATAAAAATTTTAAATTAAAAAAATATTTTTTTATCTTAATTAGGGGTGAAAATTTTTGACTTAACACGATAATACAATTTGAACTCGACACGAATTTGATTATAACTCAACATGAATTTGAAAATGACCCGACACGCGAATAAGAAATATAAAAAGTTTATAATTTTATGACTTAACACGAATGTGATATCACATGACCTGATTGTCACCCCTAATATTAGGCAAAAAAAAATAAAAAAAAATTTGATCATTTTTATTTTCTATCTATCCAACCAAACACAGAGGAAAGAAATTATATCATTCTTACTTTCCATCCTTGAAGGATAAAAAATGTATTTCTTTCTACTCTCCATTCTTTCTACATTCCATCTTTCCAACTAAACGGAGCATAAGCCTTTGTTTGTTGAAGATATGAGAATTCTGGTATATTAAACAGAAGCCAGGCTAATGTTAGTTTTTGTTCTTCTAAGAACCTATGTAAAAAGCTGGCAACTTTTGATATTATAATGGCTTTGGTGTTTGAAACTTCTGTCTTTGAATGAAATTTAAATACAGTAAGGTGTTCTACCTTGTTGAAGTCAAAGCTTAAGATCATTTCCGTACCGAGTTTTGAATAGTATTGTATAAAATTTGCCAGTACACAAGCAGACTATGTAGAAGTTGATAATACTTCAGAATTATCAACGTGCCTGAAGAAGTGAAGAGTTTTGTGACTTATATGTTTCTTGATCATAACCCAATTATTATTTTTGTTTTTGAAGTTAGGTGAACTTGGAATTAGAAAATGCAGAGTGGCTCACTCCCAATAGTATTCACTGCTTCAACTTGGTGATCCAATGGTAGTAGCCAAGACCTTAAATAAATTTTCAAGGCGGAGGTCTTTCTTGGCCCTTACATCTGTTCCCGCAATGTCAACTTTTGAGGAGCCACTTGGTTCTAATAACCTTTTGACTATTGGACTCGATACAGAACAGAGTTTCTCCTTTGGTGCTTTCACAGGCAGAGTAAACAAAAGGGCTGGAAGTTTTAGCAATGAAGGGGGGAGTGGTTACTCATTCCGAAGTGAGAAGTAAGTACATATCGTTCAATTAGCTCATGAACTAAATCTTCACAAGCATAAGATATGTTTGGAATTTGTTTACAAAAGTTGTATTCAATTTTTTTGTTTCCAGCTTCTGATTTTTACTTTTTCTTTCATTATTGTTGACATGTGGGATGGAGATAAGTTGAAGCAAGCAAACTCCATTGGCTCTTCTTTCTGTATAATCTAAGCCCGATACCTATGTTTTTTCTCATTTTTAATATAACATTTGCTTTTGCTCATCACTTTCTATAATCCATATTGGGTTTATTTTTCCTTGTATTTCACAAATTTAGTGCTTAAAATCATACATCTAATTTGTCTTTGACTCCATTTTTTCTTTAAAAAAGAAAATTTCCTGTCACTTGAGTTTCCATAGCAAACTTATTTTGCAGTGCAAATTAGTGGGTCTTATCCCAATCGTTATGTGAATGGGGATCATGTTTGGGTGGAACTACATTTTTGATGTTGCTCAATAGGAAGTGAACTCTACAAATGGATTGTGGACCTATATGCAATCAAGTCAACGGCTGAAAATTGTGCAATTCAGCACAGGCTTTGGTGCCTAAACATCACAATTAAAATAGGAAAACACCAAATCTAAATTTCATTTTATCAGTCACTTCACAAAATTATGTATAACAATATAGGTGTTTACGGATGAAGAAACTTGGTCTATTAGAGCATCCAACTCAAAATCAATTGACGATGAGTAAAACGACTCTTTAAGCATATAAACTAGTCTTAAGTGATCCTAATCATCTGATGTGGGATATAAACACTCTTTATACTTTTCTCATGGGTCAGGATCGTACATGGGTCTAACAAAAAAATAACAAACATGCATACTGGACATTCAAAGTATTGGTAGGTAAATATTAGGTGGCATTTGTTTTAAGGCTAAACATATTGTAGTCTTATATTTTATAGATGATGCATTTTAGACATATGATGTATGGACATAATTATTTATCTTTTTTAAAGATTTAAAGATTTTTTTTTATGTTTTTTTAATAATTTTTTAGGTCTTCTATTTAGTATTTTGTGCGTATCGACCGATATCGTGTCGCGACGTCACGACCGATGTGTATTAATGCCCTTAGAGTCAATGGCCGAAGCTGCGACCTTGAATCACGGCAACCACCATTGTTGAACTTATACCTTTCACTATTGAAAGGAATAATGGATGCAATGTTACTTTACAGAATTTCATAAAAATCATGAAAATATGAACTAGAAGTCTATAATCATGGGAGAGGTTATGACATATCTTTTAGTTGTTGACTTAGTTTTGGAGGAGGGAAAAAACAAACATAAAAGTTGATTTTGTTTCATCTTGGCTCGGAACGGTACAACATTACCCCTCCCAAACTAATATATGAGCTTTGCGGACTTTTCCACTTGTTGGCCATTGGTTTTGAATTGCAGGATTTAGCATGCTATTGGAGCAACTCAAAAAAAAAAAAAAAGCATGGTATTAGAGCGGGCTTGAGGAAGCTTTGCACAAGGCTTTTTTACTTCAATTTCCCTAATTTGGTATTAGTTTCTCCAATGTTTTCTGCTATATGTGCACCTTGCCATGCTTTTGGTTATATCATCTAGTTATTTTTCTATTCACGTGCGAGTGAGGGTCTCTTATGTATGATAGTGTTAGAGCTTGTTTTTTGTTTCCTTCTTCGGAAGTGTTAGAGCTTCTATTACTTCAATACAATAGCACATCCCAGAGTAGTATATTCGCCTTCTGGGCCTCTTCATTTCTAATTGGTTTTCAGTTGGATGTTTATGAGATTTTATGTTTCAAATGTAGGGGTGTGTCGGAATATAAAGATTCTAGGATAGGATAGTTGAGAGCCAAGTTAAATGAGATTGAACATCAGTAAATTAGTCGCCAAAACAAAGGAATAGTTAAAAGAAACCCGTAAATGAGCAATTCCACATCTTTGGTTGAGCGTCATACGGAGTGGGATGCTGATGAGGACAATTCTAAAAAGGATGGATAAACATCATAAACTAGGAAGTACTTTTGGTTTCTATGTTATTGGGCACTTATTGTGCAGGACAACAATGGTAACCATGCTTTGTTATTAAAATTATTAGGTAGTTTTGACTTGAGAAGCAATTTGGGATAGTGAGGTGTTGAGAGAATATACAGGTAAAGAAGTAGAATGATTAATGAATTTATTTGTAGCTTAGTAGCACTGAGTGAGGATTAGATGAGAGAAACTTGTCAGAGGTCAATTCTTGATATTTCTTAGAAGTTAGGCATTAAAAATATTTGTTATTTAGCTTGAAAGAGGTTATTCGTAATGAGGTTATGGTATTATGATCATTTCATGAGCACACAGCCTTTAGTGAAACAAAGCAAGGGGGTTTGTCATTTATGTAACGTTATACTCTGTCATTGTTCTTCCATTCTCTACATTTTGTTCTTCTTGACAAGTACCCTCTGAAATTTAGCTTGAAACAGGTTATTCGTAGTGAGGTTGTGGTATTATAGTCATTGCATGAGAACACAATCTTTAGTGAAACAAAGCAAGGGGGTTTGTCATTCAATATGTAACGTCATATTCTGTCGTTGTCTTCCATTCTCTACATTTTGTTCTTCATGAAAAGTACCATCTGAAAGAACCTAACATCTTTAATCCTAATAATCAATATTATGTGGAACATGGGTCATCTTGGTACATGGGAGAAAATGTAATTGTGGCATGACTCATGCTCTAAAATGGGGTGGGAAGGAAGTAGTCTTTCGTAGATCACATAGTTGTAACAGTGGAGGCATCTTCAAATGAGAGATTATTTCCTTTGTTCAAAAATCTGGTTCTGAAACGATTTAGTGTTCTAGAATGCAAGTGCACCACGCTTTGTAATCGGTGTTCCAAAACAAATTGCAATTTTCTAATGACTTCCATGATACTTAATCTGTGAAACATCAAGGATTACATTCTGATTTGTTGGCCAATTTGTATAAATATAAGCTGTGTTCTTTGTAGTGAGCAAAATGTAAGAAAAGCATTGCTATGGGGAAGACAAGCAAATCCCAGGGTGTTTGGAACTATAAGTGATGCTTCCTACACACCACATTGTTATTATAGCTCTCACTGCAATTACAATCCTGCAAGGGATGTAAAACACAAGGTACTTTGAATTTCACAACAGTCCACTACGTTCCTTCTTATTATGGGATTATCGGTGTTGAGTCCTTTCCTTTTACTTACGATGATTATTTCTGGCAGAGCTTATAACTTGGCTGCAATTGGGTCACTTAGAAAATTTTGTGCCTCAGTCTAAAGTTTGCTTAAATTTGAATGGAATTCAATGTGCTGCTTGTGGCTCTTTTTTGATTGGGCCCATGTGATCTAATTTCAACAAAATATTGCAGTTCTTCGGAACTATCCCTGAATATGTGAAGATAGTAGAAGTTGGTCCGAGGGATGGCTTGCAAAATGAAAAGGAAATTGTTCCTACTTCTGTGAAGGTTGAGCTAATAAAGATGCTAGTTTCTTCAGGGTTACCCATTGTTGAGGCTACTAGTTTTGTCTCACCAAAATGGGTACCACAGGTAAATGAGGCTTTTCTTTTACCTATTCATGATGATTAACATTTCCTACCAGTTTTTTTTTGGTCGCCATTAGAAAGTTTCTTGATATTCGTTCATTTGTGGCAATAAGGATTTATGGTTCAATGGTGCCTTCATTGTCTTTGAGGGTAATAATGCTGTAGTTATCTCTCGAAAAAACTACTATTCAACATCCTTAAACTATATCACAGTTAAATTGCAGTTAGCAGATGCAAAGGATGTAATCAAGGCAATTCAAAGTATTGGAGGAGCTAGATTTCCTGTTTTAACACCAAATCTCAAAGTAAGCTGCCTTTATATGGATGATGTACAGAGTTACAAGGCAACATTAAATCTATATGCAGGGGATTGTTTTTTATTTTCTCCTTTTCCTTGTTCCAGGGTTTTGAGGCGGCTATTGCAGCTGGAGCTAAGGAAGTGGCCATCTTTGCTGCAGCTTCTGAGTCCTTTTCGAGGTCAAACATAAATTGTAGCATTGAAGATAGTCTTGCTCGCTATCGTGATGTTGCTCTTGCTGCAAGAAATCTCTCAATTCCTGTTCGTGGGTATGTCTTTTAACTTCTTTTGAAACTACTTCTACAATTATAGCATATAGTTTTTACATTCACATATGATTGTAACATAGGTTCTTGTTAGGCATTACAAATTAAGAACTTGGCACTAGAGTTCTTTCAGCATTCCTTTAATTTTATGTGGTACCTTTGACAAAACTGACAATAGCAATAGCCATCATGCTGTAATTTAAAAACATTTGCATTGAGTTATAAAAGGATAATTCAGTGCAAAACTTTTTGATTACAGCAAGACAGCCATTGCTATTTTCCTTCTGCAACATAGACGCCAAGCGGCCACCAAGTTTCCCAGGCTTCAAACCTACGTCCTTTTCTAGATGTTGTCATATTGGGTTTCTCTTTGAGTAGACATCCATGCTTGTGATGTGCGATGTGTCTTCTTTGGGTGTGAGAATGTAGGAGCCTAGTAAGATCGCCTTTGGGGTCACTTCTTTTTATGCTTTGGTTTGTCAATTTTTGCAACCATATTTTATTAACTATGCTTCTAACTTAAAAAACCCCTCTTTGTTTAGTCAAAGCATTTGCCCAGCAAGTAACCCTTTCAAATTTAAAGCACAATGAATCAGTGTTATTTGTCCTGGTTATTGTTCACATGGCTTAAAGTGTTACTGGAATTGCTTATAGTTCACACATTTAAAAGTCATATAATTTTGATTAGTTTTAGTGAAGCCTTTTTCTTCACCCCTTATCTCCCTTAATCTGCTTGACAGTCAGCATGTTAGTGGTTCCTATGACTGACTGGTTTAAATTGTGAATCGTCACTTTTTTTTTATGGTCATAGTTGGTCTTTAATCGGGGTGCGTGGAGTCTGTGGGTATTCCTTTCTCATAAAGGCTATTCTATTATCCTAATTTTTGGTGGAGGAAATTTTTTTTTATTCTAATGCTTAATTCCTGCTCTACACCATGAGCACTGCCTAATAATGCCACCTACAGTCTATGATTAAAAGGTTGCTCTTGATCTCTAGTCTGGAGTTGTTGGATGGTCGATTGTGTAGTGTGTATATTGTGTTCAAATCCATTGGTGGGTTTTTTTGAAGATTCCATTTAATATCGTGGTGTTCTTGGCACTTCTCAGGCTCTTACCCAACATCATCCTTTGCTTAGGGAAACATAGTTGTCTGTGATGATTTTCCTCAACTCAATCCATTTGGAAGGTTAGAGTAGAACTTTTTTTGAGTAATAATATGGTTTGGGGGACTTATGTTCCATGCAATTCTATATGTGCTAGAATTACAGTTGCAGCCACTTAGTAAGTTTAGAAATGTTGAAATTCTCTAGTATTACCTAAAAATTGCTGCATCTCATTTTCATATGTCTAATGTGGAATATTCAGTTAGCATGTCGCATTTTCACCTCACTGTATGATCTTTGGATTTTTCTAGGACTCCATCATCTGCATATAACAAGGGGTTGTCAAATTAACATCTACTCTTCAGTGTGTTTATTTTCCTTCGTTACCAATTCACAGCTACTATTTTTGTCTGTGTTTAAACATTTCGAGCTTTTCAACCCCCCCCCCCCATTTGGTTGTGTTCTTTTTTTTTTGTGTGTTTGAATAAAATAAATGTTTTCTTTGACGTTCGGTTGACCAAATTAAGATGCACTCAATGACGTTTGAAAGTTTCTTCTCTTCTTCTGCACAGTTAAGATTACACCCATCAACTCATAAAATTCTCGTTACATTAAATTATACGTGGGAATGTTTTATCAGATTATGGATCTCTGCTAGTTTGTTTTTTAGTTCTATGAGTGTCTCGGAGATGAACTCGATGATGTCTTGAAGTCCTTGTCTCATTACTTGCAATCCATAACCTAATTATTGCTGTGATTTTGTAATTCATAGATTTGGTAATGTCTAAGATTTATTTCTTTTAAGGTTTGTATGCTATTGTACTTTTTTTTGGTCCTAAAGGATCCTCTCTCATCAATACAGCAATTATGTTGCACAGGTTCCATCATTATCTAGATGACCACTTTTTATTTGTTTGTAGTTAAAGTATTGAACTTTCCATTACCATCATCAATTTTCTTAACTTGCCAAAATAATTGGTTCATAATCTTTGCAGATACATATCTTGTGTTGTGGGGTGTCCAGTGGAAGGTGCTGTGCCTCCCACAAAAGTAGCGTATGTGGCTGAAGAGCTCTTGAATATGGGCTGCTCTGAAATTTCTCTTGGTGATACGATTGGAGTTGGTACTCCTGGTAATGCTGAAGCTGTATTTTATTTTCAAAAGTTCCAATTGTTCTTTATAATGCTTAGCAACTGATATGTATCTGGGTTGGAAATGGTTGCCAAAGAACTTAATTTCCATTGACGTAGCATCTGAAATTCTTGTGGCAAAAATGCTTAATGTGGCATATACCATAAAGTTAGGTTTCTCTCTCTCCTACACCAATAGATAGAGTGGCGTTGTGGTGGTCATTCCCATTATTAATCTGCATAGATCATGCATGCCAGATGAATGTAACTAACGGAAATGAGACTAGTCTAACTCATGGAGACTAGTTTTTTTAGCCAATAGTATGTGGAAATTCTAGCGAACCTTTTCTGAATCGATATGTCGACACTTTTCCCTTTGTGTGTTCCATTTCTCTGAAACAGGTAATTTATTTCTGGTCCAATAACTAAAAATTGTCATAATCTACTGGCTGCAACAGAAATCAATCGGAGGATTCTGTGACAGTTCCAGGAAGGTCTGTAACAAAAGTACCTGAAAAAAAGTGCTATCTAGGCAGGGGCAGAACCAATAATTTATTCTTGGATGGGTCCATGAACTATTAGTTTTATTTTTTTCCTCCTAATCGATTGAATTACGATGACAAATTTATATTAGTACAAATCATATGTTTGATATTTATAGATTCATTAAAGACAAGAGGGCCAAAAGTTGACATATGTGGGGTATACAAACCAAAAAACAACAAAAAATGAGGCTAATTACAATCCTTTTTAGAAAAGTGAGGCTAAATACAACCTTTACAATTGACCTAGATGAATTTTCATATTTTGAAGGCGTTGCATGATAAATGTCTAGGATATTAATCAGGTATCTCTCTATATATGCAATCAAGCTGTTGGTCATCTCTTACCTGTTTGGTTATACTACTGATTTTTCATAATTTTCAGTTGTATAAACTATTTGACTGTTGCTCTTTATGCTCTTGAATAGTGTATAATTTTATATGGGGAGATCTTTAACTGCTACTCTTTAATTCTTTATGCTTTTCTGAAACATGTGAAGGACTCTCAAATTACCGCCAATACTAGTCCCTGGGGATAAAAAGGAGTATAACTTTAGTTAGTTCTATTACAACAATGATTATTATTATATTTGTGGCATACAGTAGTTGAAGTTAGTAGGGAAATCAGAAATTAAACAGTTATATTAGCATCACCATGGCTGTTGTGATTCACCACATTAAACATTCTTATTAGAATGACATTTTGGAGAGGCCTCTGGAATATAGAACTCCCAACAGTTATGCCATAAAGCTAATCCTGCAGATGTTGTGCATGTCACTTTTGTTTTTTTTGGATCAAAGCTATGCATCACACTTAACTCACCTATAACTGAGGGAATTAATGTACCTCTAATCCTAGAAGTTTTAAGATAGTTGAGAATATAGAATTGCATATTCTAAGAAATGCAGTGAATAGAAAGAAGAAATGTTTTCGTTGATTAGATTAAAAAAAATTATTGTGATATGCTAGCAACGAGTCATTTAAATTACTTAAGTTTTGTTACAGCTTTTGTGCATCCACTGATTCTCTTTTTCAACATGGTATGGATTTGTTTGAACGCTACAGAAATGTTTCTTACAGAAGCAGATTAATTAAGCATCTCAATGCACGGCACAAACATAATTCCTTGTCATTCCGCGACACTCAATCCACTTGTCTGGTGTTATAAAAAAGTTACCAAGTGAATTTTACATTTGATATTGTTCCCAAATGATGTAAAATTATCTGCTATAACTTTTCTGATACTGGTTCAGCAACTTCTGATTCACTAATTGGTGGAAAATTTGCCAAGTCAATTTTATTTTTGAAATTGTTCCCAAATGAGCTAAAATTATCTGCTATAAGTTTTCTGATACTGGTTCATGAACTTCGGATTCATTTACTTTTTTTTTTTCTTCCTTTCCTTCTTTCCCTCCTCCAGGTACCATCAGTCCAATGCTTGAAGCTGTTATGGATGTTGTCCCTGTAGAAAAGTTAGCTGTCCATTTTCATGACACTTACGCGCAAGCTCTTTCCAACATTCTTGTATCTCTCCAGGTAAGACATCTCGTTATCTAAATTTATGCATGAAAATCCCAATTTTTTTCTTCTGATATACAATTTTCAGTCTATTGGAATTATCTGTATAAGAGGAGTGAGATTACTGTTAAAACTTTATTCTCTATATCCTGCTGAGGAAGTGCAGTGTTACCATTTTGTGAGTTTGATGAGGGGATTTCTAGTTATGACAAAGGGTGATATATGTTTGCTGTTTGTCAAAATGGATTGCCTTTTGATGAATTGCTCTTGATAAGATTTTAGGTGTCCGTTATGATAGATATTCAAAAAAGAGAAGAGGTTTCTAGTAAAGTAGGAGAAAATTACCATTTCCAAAGGAAAGAAACCTCCTTAACCTGATTGGAGGACACCTTTGTGCGTTTTCTATGAAGTAAATCCAAGATCTTTCTTTTTAGTATCTATATACTACTACACATTTATCAATAATGAAATATTGTAACACTTTAATATGGAATACTAATACTATATTTGGTTCCAAATTTGAAAAAAGTTCGATTTGTTTTTAATATTTTATGCACTAAAGAGCTACAAAAATGGGGTGCAATCAAGAAAATGTGTGGCACGATTTAGCATGTTACCTAAGGAGGGAAAAAATATTGGGTAGAACGGTGACATTACGTCATCAATGTCACGTGATGTCACAATCTAATAAAAACATAACAAATAAGTAGGCGGATCTCACATATTCTAGTAATCACCATGTCATGTCATTTCAAGTGGGGTTCACTTTGTCCATTTTTAAGTTTATTATTGGATAGTGACACCACATGTCAATAATGACGTGGTGTCACTGTTACACCCAAGTGTAGTGTCTATAAATCATCCCAATTGCATTGATGTGAATAAGAAATAATGAGCTTGCTTGATGCATTACAAAGCTGATTTACTTTGTATTTCATATTATTTGTTTTCTAGTAGTTCAATCAACCATTGTAGTTGAGGAGCTTAGTTGATGTTTCAGAATTGCTTTTGCTATTCGAGTAATAATGGAGGATGGTGCTAGATCTTTGATATATTGGTTCCTTTTCTTTTCAGATGGGGATCAGCACTGTGGATTCTTCTGTATCGGGGCTCGGGGGTTGCCCATATGCAAAGGGCGCTTCTGGGAATGTTGCCACCGAGGATGTGGTTTATATGCTCAATGGACTCGGAGTGAAGACTAACGTGGATCTCAGAAAGCTAATGCTGGCTGGGGATTTCATCTGCAAGAATTTGGGCCGGCCTTCTGGTTCGAAGGTTTCAATTGCCTTGTGCAGAATCACCGCAAATGCCTCCAAGCTGTAGCTACTTCAGATGCAACGAGCTGAATCACCCACTATTGCCCCAATCAATAAGGTATCTTGGATCACCGAGTCTGTTCCATGTTGCCCTGTGCTGAAAAGCGTGCCCATCTATGTGAGAGCACAAATATGCGCATACCACATGCGCCTTTCCGGTGTTTCTTACCCATGGGGAACTCTTTCCCCTATTGCATACTCATGGCATTGGTATCATCCCTCGTGCTTGTCACAAATAAAGCCTACTGTTGCATTACTAATTTCTCCATTCAGTTTTCATGTTATGATGGCATGCATGCAGAAGAAAGAAAAATAGAAGAACTCAAGCAATACGAATGGAGATTGCAAATGGTCTGAAGGACAATTTTTGACACGTGATGTTAGCATGATAGCGGCGTAAGCCCATTCTAAGTCATAGGTTTCTGATTCACGTGTTACAATAATCGTGTTTAACACATACACGATTGACAGGTCTATGTTGAATGATGTTTTTGAGAATAACGATGGGACCATGTAGGCAACTTTTTTTTTCTTGAATAAAGGACAGCTTACAAGGAAAGGTCATAACCAATTTCTTTATTTATATAGAGGCGGGGTCGCCATTTCTCTTGCTAATCCAACTAGTTCCAAACCTGTCTTTCTCACTCCATTTGTATGGTGAATTATAAAAATTATATACTTTGGTATCGTAACTCTGAAACTTAGTCAAAACTCATTTAGTTTACAAAATTGATTTGGATAGTTGGTATAATATGTCAAATGAACTATTTCTGATAGAATTCATTGATTTCAGGGCATTTCTAATAGATTTTATCTCCCGACTTTTCTTTCTTTTTTTTTATTTTTTAAAGAGAGTCAATCATCCAAAACTTATTTATAATAAGCTCTTTATTTGGACAAAGCTAAAGTAGAGAAGTCAGGACCATTTCAAATATCGCTCTCTGTTTTAAAGACCATCTTTTCAAAAATAAAGAGCATCTTTGATAAAAAATTAAAATAAAGCAAATTTTTATAACAACTTTAATAGAATTCTCTATTTTATTAGTTAACTAGTCATGACTCGTGCCTAGGCACGACAAAATATAAAATTCGAGCGTCTAAAAAATTAATTTTATTATATTATTTTTTTTTTAAATATATTAACTACAAATTATTAAATATTAAATAATTAAATATGTGATAAAAATGAGTTGTGTGATATTTTTAGGGAGAAAATATATAAATAATTAAATATGTGATAGAAATGAGTGATGTTATTTGACGTTTGAATCTGACAAAGAGATGATTAGTGAGGTAAGTAATTGATGATAATTTTGAGAAAAAAAATATGACTGGAATAAAATTCAAACACACTTCTGTTTTATTATATAAATAATATTTAATATAAAATGTACATATAGAGTAGAGAATAAAGTTGACTCTCCAAATGCAGAGAATTAAATTACACTCTCTATTTTAGTTAGTTCAAATAGAAAGTTTGTTGGTGATAAATTTTTAGGCATCGACTTTTTAAAATAGAGAATTAAGGGACAATAGAGAGTCTATTATAAAGATGAATTTGTAGGAATTGACTCTTAAAAATAGAGAATTGAGTGAGAATAAAAATCTATTAGAGATGCTCTAATTTGATTTTTTATATTTGAAGAGTGCAATTCGACCTCTATTTTATAAATAATAAATAAAACGATTATGCATGTACATACTTAATAAATGATTTGCTTTATAAGTTATTGTTTTATTAGAAAAAAGAATCCTATTGGAGTTGTTGGAAAAATTTTATTTTTTATTTTAATTTTTTAGTAGTCGAACCCTACTCTCTATAATTTGCTAATTTGTAACTCACTCGTTGGTATATCTTTCATCCATCATTATAGTACATTATAAGTGAGCAACAGGTCAGTCCGATGCCCTGTTTTTGTTTTACACGTGTCCATTTTTACCTTATTCAGCAGTGTTTTTTTAAAATTTTTTACCTTTGGTACCATACCAAAAATTCAAAGGGGTGTACCGTAGAGTAGCCCTTTGTATTATTGCTCTGAGGATTTGTCGGCCCCGGAAGAGAAAGTGACAGTATTGCTGGTCGAATGGAGGACAGCCCAATAGGAAAAGTACACCTAAGCCAGGAAGTGCCACTCTGGATACAGAATTTCAAGAATAATTGGTGTATTTTGAATACTGCGCCTTTTCTATCAGGAGGAAAACTACAAAACTATTTGAAGTTAAATTTTATTTTTTTGAGGAAAAAATTATAATTTAAAAATTGATGAAAGTTATAATTTTTAATGATAAAATTATTATTTTTTGAGATTAAATTATATTTTTTAAAAATGAAGTTACAGTTGATCATAAATTATTTTATAATCGATCATGAAATTACATCAAACAATTATAACTTTATATTTAAAATGTATAATTTAACTTCAAAAATTAATAACTGAAAATAATAATTTTCAATATTGTATCAATTTTTTTTTTTTTTGGGTACGGTAGATTCATTACCTTTCTACCAGATATTGATTGTGAGTTTTCAAATCTCTGAGTCTTCTGGGTTTCTGAATAGGGTACTTCTTTGGTGGTTTATGGGCCTCATTAAACAGGGCCTTGGGATTGGAGGGCTCCATGGGGTGCTTTTGCTTCCTCTTGTTAATCGTTTCTTGTCGTGTTTTTTTTTTTTTTTTATTGCGTTAGAATTATATTATTTTGTGCTTATGGAAAATGAGAACCAAAAATTATCAGAGTAGTAACCCTTTTTCTCTCGTGGTAATTAATCAAATTGGGGTCTCCTTTGAACTAAATTTCTACTTCATCCAAATCCTAATTAAACCAAATCAAAAATCATTCAATTTTAAAATAATTCATTAATACAATATCAATAAATGAAAAAGTAAAAAATAATAATATATATTTTTTTATAATATCAATTAAATAGGTTACATATATTTTTCTTCCAGTCTAATACCAACTTTGTTCATTTATTATTCGTATTAGTAAGTCGTGCCATTTAAAAAATAGGGGTAATCTGTGATTTGAAGGTACAGTGCAATGTGAATGATTTTGAGAAGAATGTTGGTAGCCGTTGGATGAATATATTTGAGATCGTCGGATGAACTTATTGAAACCTTCCCTATTTTATATTATAGATTGATATCCTACCTTAAATTCTTGACTTTTTCATTGAGTGGGGTTATTCCACCTCCAAAAAATTTTGTTTTCCGGTTTCTTTTTGTATAAACATTTGGCTTTCTAAAAATCCTTGTGTTTCTTAATAAAAGAAATACAAGAAGATAACTAGGTGACAAATGTTACATTAAAACCGATACAAACACATATTGAAATACAAGAGTAATAGATTGGTGGGATTAAAATTAGACACGAATTTTCTTTTTTATTGGTATCGTAAGAAAGGGACATATGACTTTTTTTTTTTTATTCATTCTTATCTAATGTTATATGAGTTGTTAAGGAACAAAATGTATTTTTCATATGAATATGACATGAACATTATACAATTCAACGATGTGGCAGCGGTGAGAGTGGTAGTGGTAATAGTAGAGGAAATGGTGGTGGTAGAGGTAACGGTGGTCGTGGGATGGTGATGGCGACAATGACCGGATAAATCCAAATAGTTTTCTTACTCTAGAAACAATACAATTTTCTTTTAATATTGTAAAAATAGCACAGAGACTCTTACTAGAATTTTCAAGAGAATCCTAGTTTATTTAGATAATCATAAATAATAAAAATAGAACCACACATGGAATTTTACAAAATTGAAAATAATGTTTTAAAATACTTTGTACACAAAATATTTCGTTGTGTATTATCAACCCCCTCCGAACATATGACACTGAGAAGACATTACAAGAGTGAGAATATATATTCAATGAGACGATGGTGGTATCATGTCATTATTGACATATCGTATCCCCAACCAATTAAAAACGAACTAATATGATTAGTGAAGATTGCTTAATCTAATGTGGTATTTTTGGGTCCAGTAGTAGTTACAATTTATAGTATGGTTCACTATTCGTATATAGTGTTTGTAAGGGGTTAAAAAACCTTACAACCTAATAAGAATTCGACTAGGAACAAATGAACAAAAAGGTTACATCGCTCCTCTTGAAAAACAAAAAAATTATTAGAGACGGGGGTGGACCGGTTGGAAGCACTCTATATTCTTAAGTCAGTAAGGGTTTTGATAATGTAATCGAAACTAGTTTTAGGAAAAGTAGTGTGTATCTCCGTCTTTAAGCTTAGCCTTGGACTTATAGAATGATCTGATACCCTTTCTATTAGGGTACTTGCTGTTGTCTATGTGAGGTGTTACACCTTACATTTAGCCAAATTGATAGTGATTATCGCTGGAATTCTTTCCAGTGTTCTCGAATTGTCTATTTATTCGGGCACGTTGATAATGTTTATCCGTGATTTGGGTAATGTCCTTATCAATGTAGCACTGCCTTTGATTCTTTGGGATAACACAATCTTCCACGTTACTAAGACCAATTCGGGCTCAATTTTGTCTGCTCTTATTGCTTGAACTAAATTGTAGCTCGGTTCCTGATGGCAGTTCGACCTATTTGGTCAAGCACATTGCTCAGTTGTAGGACCTTTACCAAAAACGTGTTACCTAGTTTGGGACTAATTCGTCAAATGGTTCCATCGATTCTAAATTATCGACATTCTGAATAGTCACCATGCAAGCCACATGACCTTTGTCATGTGTCTATACTTATTTTGAATTATTAAATATCTAATCATACGCAGTAATTCTGTACTCTTTTAGTGTTTTATTATTGACTAGTGATATCACGTGTGAATGATAACGAGGTATCTCTATTACATTGAATACACAAAATTATATAGAAACATGACTTTATAGAAGTGGTCCTTCTCCTCCTATGTTTGGACACTGAAGTTGAATGCCTTACAAATAGGGGAATTGTGCAAACAAAAAAGTAGTGGAACAAAAGTAAAACCAATATCCTCATAGAGACGCCTCTAGCAAAAGGGGTCGGGTCATCTCATTCGTGATTAAAGTGGCCCCTCTCTCCTTTTATCTTCACGGTCCCAAAAAAGCCAAAAGGTTTACTTCTTTTCACTTTTATATTTCCCTTGTATTCAACAAACAAATCAACTTTATAGTTTTCTTAATTATACTATCTTCATTCTCATTAATTTACTTATATTTTTGTTAATTTTGTTTACGTCATTGTTACTTAATTTGTAGGGATTTTGAATACGTTTGTATGATATCAGCATGATCATACATTCAAAAATCATTGTTTTCGCATATGGTAATTTTATGAACACGTGGATTTATTCATATGCCAAAACGGATAATGCTAGTTCAATCCCTGCTCCCTCTCCTCGAGCAATGTAAAGGTATGATTTCTATCAAAGAAGTGAAAAAAAAAAAAAACCCTATAGAAGAGTTGAACAACTCAAAATTAAGTTGAGCTCGTCGTCGTAACATTTAACAAACCTAGCTTCTTGATGATAAGTACTAGTCGGACTTTCTATTTTGGAGAACCCCAGTGATAGAAAAGATTTTTCATCAATAATAGTGAATAGATTTGACATATTTGGAATATATCTCCTAATGAAACAATTTACAAAGTGGAAAAATAGCTGGCAAACAGAAAACGGGAACAAAGCATTCAGTTGGCCCTACCACAGATTCACAATCATACATTATGGAGAAATTAGCAAAGTTAAAACATTGCACAGTCTATATATATATATATATATATATATATTGTTCCTCCTTTTCCCCCCTATTGATTTCCAGCCGAAAGAGAACCCAGTTTATGCAGGGCACAGTAAAAAGCAGTAGGTCCCAAGCAAGCGTAAATGTCACAGAAGTTCATGTTCTGCATTTATAATGTATCCATCTGAGCATGCAAACACAAACATGGTATTATGCATGTATATGAGACATGTACACAAATATTTATACATCCATAACCAGATCAGCTATGTGTAGATTATGGATAATAAATATAGGGTAAGACTATGGTATTGAAGGAGGAATCGTAGTGAAAGTTACAACTAAATAGGGTTGATCAGAATAGTTAGGATCGGTCTCAAACAACCTAATTTTGTTGTAATGATTGAATTGTAGCCTTAGTCTTATTTTATAGTAATTTTGGTATTGTATAAAAAAATAATTATTCAATAATGTAGTCTTAACCTATAATATAATATCTCTATGGAAAATGTATCATCATCTCTAATTTTTGTTTCACTATCAAAATGAAATGGAAAAGGCCATTGGAGCACCTGTCCTTCTTCATTAAGAGTTACTGCGAGGAATAAAAACACCAACCAACAACAACAAAAGCTGACCAACATTCATTGAACCAACAACCCCATTAATGGCATTCAAATTCATGAAATGATCATCAGAGAAACATTTTTTGTTGTATGTTCTTAAGCACAATGATATTTTATGTACCCAAAAAAAAAAAAAACAATATTGACATTTGCTCAACAAAACCTCAGAACTAACTTACCATACATATACACATGTAAAGGTCACTTACAATATTCCGGTGAAGCAGTCCATCAAAACACTCAATCTTCATCTAACTCAATTTAGAAAAGAATACAGAAAGCAAAAGAAATGAAATAGAAATCAAAGAAGTTATATAGAGGGGGAAAGACAAAATCACATGGTGTTTTCTCTGCTGACTTATCTGTTATGAAGAGGATTTGGACCTGTGTAGACTCTTCTCTTGTCACCACCAAAAATATCATCATCTTCATGCTTGTTTCCCTTACCCTTTAAGCCATTATGGGTTTTTAAAGGACTGAGATCAGAACCAGAGCCACCTTTGGATCTGCTAAATCTACCATACCCATCTGCAAAACATGGACTATTCCCCAACTTTAAGAGCATCAGCAGAAGAAGAAACAAGCAAGCCATCTCTTTCCTCAGACCCATTTTTTGACTGACAAACAACCCAAAGCTATGGCATGGATCCTATGTAGAAGATGCAACTTTCTCTCTCCTATCTCTTTTGTCACTATACGAAAAGCCCAAGGAGTGGTGTTTAAGGTGGACTTGTGTAGTGGGATGCCTGAGGACTAATTTATGGGGAAACTTTTTGTTTGGCTTTGTGTAGATGCCTTGAAGTTTGAGGAAGAGAGTCAATATGCATAGGTTTTGCTGCCTGTTCTAATTTGAAAATGGTGCAACGGGTAAACTTTTTTTGGTACTGATTTCAGAGCCTAATATTTGCTGGAGAGGTTTTACTAAGGGGGGAGAGAGAGAAAAAGAGAGAGAGATGTGGAAGAGCAGCTTGCTAATTTGTGTCCTCCCAATGTCCCTTTTCAATTTTTATCAATCTTGATCATCTGAAAAGAATCATTTTCCTAGCTTTATTTATCCTTGTTTCGTTGGAGAGAGGCTGAGGATAAAAGTGGGGGTTTGCCTATTTGTAGGTGAGAATGTCTCCTGCACTATAGTCCATACTCTATACTTCCATCATATAAATTCCAGGGAAAGTTACATAAAAGGAGCTTTACCTTTTTTTCCCAAAAGAACTTGCCCGGAGGCAAGTATAAGAAACTTGGTCACCAAGAATGTATTTGGATCCGCATTAAGAGGCTTTTTAATGCAATTTGATTTTCAAAGAAAGTGCAGCGTAATTAAAGACTTGGTTGGGGGTGTTTGATAACACCATTTAAGACTTAAAATTGAAAACTTTAAGTACTTAATATACTAAACATATTTGATAACTTAAAACTCATACAATTAAATATTTTAAATATTTTTAAAAAAGCTAAAATTTTAAATAGCAAGTCATTTACTTATCACTGAATGCTGAAAATATCAGTCAATAAAGATTTTTTACATTTTTCATAATGGACAAACATAAACTTAATGCATTTTATAGTTTTAACTTTTCAATACCCACCATTCACTACTACCATCGTGCCGCCACCACCACTATCACCGTCGCTATTGTGCTGCCACCACAACTACCATTATGTCACTGTTACCCCCACCATTGTGCCACCATCACCAACACCATTATGTCGCCACCACTACTGTCATTGTTGTCGCTGCCACCATCAACATTACTACTGTCACCACTATCACCATTGTCACCTTACCATCACATCCATCCATCGCCGCTAGCACCCACCACCACCATCGCTAGCAGCACCACCACTACCATCATCATTGTCACTCCACTATATCTATCCTTATTTAGCTACTGCTGCCATTGTCACAACCACTACTACTGCCGTTGCCACCCTCATTTCTCTCACCACCCACATCGTCACTATTTTCATGACCACAACTATTGCCACCACCATTAATGTCATCGTTGTCATTGTTTCCACCATCACCACCACACTACTATTGCCACAACCACCACCATTGCCACCCTACCACCACCTACCTTCACCCCCGTCACAACCTAAATCACCACTATCACTCCAACATATTTGTCATCGCCCCCACCGAAGTCACCTCTACCACATCACCCACCGCTAATATTGTCACTAACACTATCACCTCCCACCTTTGCCCCCCATCATCACCACCCCTACATAATAACGTACCTCACCACCTACAAACCTTTATTATTGCCTTCAACTTGCCTACATACCACTCGTCATCCTTGTCACAACCACCAACCAATCAATCAACCAACGAACACAATTATTGCCACCGTCATCTTCCATTGTCATTTTTCACCGGTGTCAATATTCCACCGTAACTATCCCACCATCGCTACCACAACTCTACATTCCCACCACCACTGCCACTAACTTTACCCTTACCATCATCACCATCAGTCTGACCACTATTACCCTACCCCAACCACCATGATGGTGGTAACGATAGTCACATGGATATTGTAGGTTGTAAGGGTAGTAGCCGTGGTGGTTATGGTCAAGTGGTGAAGGTCGTGGTAATTAGTGGTAGGGGTGGTTATGGTATTAATGATGTAATGATGGTGGATGGATGGTGGCGGTGGTTGTAACAGAGTGGATGACAATAGGTGATGGGCGGCAATGTTAGAGGAAGTAGCGATAACATCGAGTATGGTGCCATTGGTGGGATGGTTGAGAAAGTGATGGTGATGGGGGGTAGTGCCAACACTGATTTGTGTAGGACAGTCGTGGTGATTGTTAATTATAGTGATAGTAGTGGTAAGAATAAGGTAGTTGTGGTGAGATGGTAAAAGAGAATGACAAAATTATAATGATAATAATTTTTAAACTTTAACTCGTAGTTATCATGTAATTAATGAGTACTTAAATTTCAGTGGATATCAAATAGTTTGTAGATTAAAAAATCTAACATTCAACACTTAAAATTCAGTATTAAGTTTTCAATACATTTTTTTTTTGGTATTGCGGTCAAGAGTGTCCAGATCAGTTTATGCGTGTCTCGATTAATCCTTTTCCGGTTCGGTCAAAGGGAGTCCATCCATGCTGGGACTAGAAAATTAATGAGGAATGAATCCTTCATGACCCGACCTCGAGAGCTGCTAAATTTTAAACTCGGAACGTCTGAGTCACGTAATTTTCAATTTTATCAAACACTACCTTAGATTAGTCATTCCTAGACTTGACACACATTGACATCCAACTCTTATTGGACGAAAAACTGTGGGCATGGTGGTAATTTGACTTGTAATTCTTAGGTTTCATCGTGTATTTCAAATGCCAAATGCCCATTATCTTGTATCATTTGGGTTGGACAGTCCTTGTTTCTCTCCTAATCAATGAGGGTTACTCGCATGCATGAGCCCAAGGAATTTAGACAATTAACCGAGCGTGTCACCTGTGATCATGGTGCCCATAGGGGTTGCAAATCCTTGAATTTTGGCCTTGTGGATGCATCTACATCTACTACTTTTTCTATCTACCTTTTACTCAGATTTCTCTGCTTATAAAAAGAACAAGCTCTTCACCATCCTTCTCTAGCTAAACTTAAGTTTGAAGCAAATGAAGACTGTCAAAATGAAGTTGCAGCTTTACCACTGATGAAGTTTATATTGCTTGTAATGATTTAGTATATGCATTTTCTGATATACCTAGAATTTTGCCACATGCATTGACAAAGTAGATCTAGGAAGCAAAGATGATAAGGTAGATAATAGTATTAACAATAACACTTTCATAAACAAAACTTCTACCATTGTAAAATTGAAATAAAGTCAAATATATCCTTATATATAGCCCCCTAACAATATCCTAGATTGTAGCTGCACGAGGGATAAGATAGCTAGTGACAAAGTATGTTTACTCTTCAAACAGGAATTAGGACGGTTAATTCTTTCTATAAATCTTTAGGAGGGCATTCATGAAAATAAAGAGAAGTAGGTTTTTATTTTTTATTTATTTATTTGGGGGGGTGGGGGG